GTTTAAACTACTTAAACTGTTATATGAAAGTAATGCCATACCAAAGATTTAATAGCGTTTTTAGCACTACGACCATCTGGCAACTATAAATTATCTATGTTTATCTAATCACAAAACAGAGTAAGAGAGAGCCGGTGGAATATTTTAATTATTTTCATTTGCAATTATTTTTTTAAATTTCTTTAGTTTAGCAGCAACTTTACAAAATGATGAACGTATTAAGGAACTCTTTGAAATTGGGTAAGGAAATTTTAAAAACAATACTATACATTAATTAATTAATACATTGAATTAATTAAACATTTACTTGGTATAAATTATAATAAAAATAAACTAAACTTGTGCTTTTTTACAACAAGGTCATACTCGTGGACCCCTGCAACAGGTTAAACGTAACATTGCCTGTTTGTCGGCTTTACCTGAAACCCATCAGATGTTGCAAAAAACCTGCAGAGATTTTGCCGATAATGAATTGGTGCCCAATGCAGCCAAATGTGATCGTGAACATTTGGTATCCCGAGCAGCAGATTAAAAAAATGGGTGAATTAGGTCTGATGGCTGTAGCGGTACCCGAAGAATTAGGTAAAAAGTTACTCTATTGCAGTTAATATAATGATTTTATATAACATATATGAACAATTTTATATTTTTAGGTGGCACTGGTTTGGATTATTTGGCTTACTCTATTGCCATGGAAGAAATATCTAGGGGTTGTGCCTCGGCTGGTGTTATTATGTCTGTTAATAATTCACTGTATTTGGGTCCCATTTTGGGTTTTGGCAATGAGGCACAAAAGCAAAAATTTATTACTCCCTTTACGTCGGGTGATCAAGTAGGTTGTTTTGCCTTATCCGAACCTGGCAATGGTTCAAGATGCTGGTGCTGCCTCTACTACAGCTGTAGATAAGGGGTGATCATTATCTTTTGAATGGCACCAAGGCCTGGATCACTAATGGTTATGAAGCCAAGGCAGCTGTGGTTTTTTGCCACCACCGATAAATCCCTCAAACACAAAGGCATTTCTGCCTTTATAGTACCCAAAGCTACAGAAGGTTTCTCTTTGGGCAAGAAAGAAGATAAATTGGGTATACGTGGCTCTTCCACCTGCCAGTTGATTTTTGAAGATTGTATTGTACCCAAAGAGAACATTTTGGGTCAACCTGGTTATGGTTTTTAAAATTGCCATGAAAACTTTGGATGCCGGTCGTATTGGTATTGCCAGCCAGGCTTTGGGTATTGCTCAAGCTTCTTTGGAATTGGCGGTGGATTATGCTCAAAAAACGTATTGCTTTTGGTAAACCTATCTCCAAACTTCAAGCTATTCAGGAAAAAATTGCCGATATGGCAGTTAAAGTAGAATCTGCACGCTTGTTGACCTGGCGTTCGGCCTGGTTAAAGGACAACGATAAACCCTATACCAAAGAGGCTGCTATGGGCTAAATTAGCTGCTTCAGAAGCAGCCACCTTTTGCAGTCATCAGTGTATACAGGTGTTGGGTGGCATGGGTTACGTAAGTGATATGCCAGCCGAACGTTATTATAGAGATGCCCGTATTACCGAAATCTATGAGGGTACAATCGGAAAATTCAACGCTTAGTAACAGCTGGTTCTGTTATTAAGGAATTGAGTGCCTAATTTAAAAATCAAATTTTTCGCGAAGGCTGTTTTCTAAAACAAAATATTTTTTAAGTGCATTTAATATTATACAAACATACATATCTGCCAACACTTCTTTTGATAAAAATAAGTTTTAAAATATGCAAAATTGTTTTACGATAAAAAAGTGATCAATTGTTAACTCTAAGGGTTTTCTTTAAATAAATTAATAAAAAAAAGTATTACTTGATTAGTTGTATTATCTTTTCATCTCTTATTGACTTTGATAATGTATATCATGTCAATGACTTGCAGAATTTTGGAAAATTTATATACAACATACATACATATATATGTATCTACATAGTACATGTACACATGTAGGTATGTATAACATTCTAAAATTAAATTAATTTCTTAAATTAATTCATAATTTGTTAACTGTGTGTTAATAAATTTGATAAGCTTTACTACGCCAAATTGTAGTTATCTTTTAACATTTGGAAAAACGTTAAAGTCTCGCTTTTGTATCTAATCTATAAATCTCTATTTGTTACCAATAAACTTTTCCGTTAGGACGCAATGATAACTTAAATCAGAACCGATAAATCCTTTAAGACCAGTTTGACTCAATAAGTTTTAAAACTATTTTATTGTAGATAGATAGATAGATAGATAGATAGATAGATAGATAGATAGATAGATAGATAGATAGATAGATAGATAGATAGATAGATAGAGATAGATAGTAGATAGATAGATAGATAGATAGATAGATAGATAGATAGATAGATAGATAGATAGATAGATAGATAGATAGATAGATAGATAGATAGATAGATAGATAGATAGATAGATAGATAGATAGATAGATAGGAAGATAGATAGATAGATAGGTAGATAGATAGAAATAGATAGATAGATAGATAGATAGATAGATAGATAGATAGATAGATAGATAGATAGATAGATAGATAGTAGATATATAGATAGATAGATAGATAGATAGATAGATAGATAGATAGATAGATAGATAGATAGATAGATAGATAGAGATAGATAGATAGATAGATAGATAGATAGATAGATAGATAGATAGATAGATAGATAGATAGATAGATAGATAGATAGATAGATAGATAGATAGATAGATAGATAGATAGATAGATAGATAGATAGATAGATAGATAGATAGATAGATAGATAGATAGATAGATAGATAGATAGATAGATAGATATGTATTTAAATTTTAATTTAAGAAAATGCATACGATTTACTTTTTTCATATAAAAAACGATTTGATGAACTTAGAACTACCGGTATTTACTGTTAACTAGTATAGTAGTTTTTATCTGTCTTTAACAAGAAGTGGACGCAAAGGGAGACGTTTTAGACCTAACAGTAAGTTATATTTGAAATAAAACGGTTATGTTTTCATGCGTCTAGCATTATTTATTCCGCAAAATTATTAATATAGTGATTCTAATCTAGAAATCTCTATTTGTTACCAATAAACTTTTCCGTTAGGACACAATGATAACTTAAATCAGAACCGATAAATCCTTTAAGAAACAGTTTGACTCAAAGTTTTAAAACTATTTTATTGTAGATAGCTAGTTAGATAGATAGATAGATAGATAGATAGATACATAGATAGATCGATATATAGATAGATAGATAGATTAGATAGATAGATAGATAGATAGATAGATAGATAGATGATAGATAGATAGATAGTTAGATAACTGATAGATAGATAGATCGATAGATATATAGTAGATTAGATAGATAGCTAGGATAGATAGAAGATAGATAGATAGAAGATAGATAGATAGATAGATAGATAGATCGATAGATAGATAGATAGATAGATAGATAGATAGATAGATAGATAGATAGATAGATATATAGATAGATAGATAGATAGATAGATAGATAGATAGATAGATAGATAGATAGATAGATAGATAGATAGATAGATAGATAGATAGATAGATAGATAGATAGATAGATAGATAGATAGATAGATAGATAGATAGATAGATAGATAGATAGATAGATAGATAGATAGATAGATAGATAGATAGATAGATAGATAGATAGATAGATAGATAGATAGATAGATAGATAGATAGATAGATAGATAGATAGATAGATATGTATTTAAATTTTAATTTAAGAAAATGCATACGATTTTACTTATTTCATATAAAAACGATTTTTGATGAACTTAGAACTACCGGTATTTACTGTTAACTAGTATAGTAGTTTTTATCTGTCTTTAACAAGAAGTGGACGCAAAGGGAGACGTTTTAGACCTAACAGTAAGTTATATTTGAAATAAAACGGTTATGTTTTCATGCGTCTAGCATTATTTATTCCGCAAAATTATTAAAAAGTGATTCGAGGCAACTACTTAAGATCTAAAAATAATAATTGCTGTCTATTTGCTTAGTTATTTGTTTATAATTAAAATTCTATGAAAAATTTTCAATTAAAAATAATTTTGTTTCAAAATTTCCAACAAATACCAAAATAGTTCTTTTTCATTTTGTTCCCACACCAACTAAATATTTCACAAATACAACGCTGTCAATGTTTTTCCATTTCTTTTTATTGTTCGCTTTTCTTTATTCTTCTAACAGCATTGCCATATGTAGCGAACATATCATTGAATTTTCGTACTCCATCAAATAAACATCAAAAGTTAATTGTCCTTTCATATAAAAAAATCAAATTTTTAATTTAATATTATTAAAACAAAGAAAATATCAACGAAAATGTGATAAATATATAAATAAGTTAAAGTTTAAACTAAATACAATTGTGGTTTAATGAAAATTCTATTAATTAACTCAAAATAAATCATTAAAAATGGTTGGAAAAAAAATTTTCTCATAAGAAAAAACCCAAAAAAAAAAGAAAGACAACAAAAGCAAATACAGGAAAATAAAATAAAAAACAACCTAACAAATAAAAGTAGTGTAAAGAAGTGTATAGGCGAAGAATATGAATGAAAGAAGAGAAACATAAAAAAATAAAGTAAAATAACAGTGTAGAAATAACAACATTACTAAAAAGTTTTATTTTGTTGTTTGGTTTAATAGTGTTTGAAAGTGTTTTTTACTAATAGAGCGGCAAATGAAGAAAGGCAACAACAACAACTTAAAGTTAACTTAGGAAAAAAGGTAAAATATAAAAAAAAAATAGAAAATTTTACTATTTTAAGTTTTTCTTTTATTATTAACAATTGTTCAAAATGGAAAAGCAGTGTACTTAGTAGACAGACAGACATGCATACGAACAGATTTACTAGTACATGTTGGAAGTTTATTAAACCTAAGTATAATATTTCTTTTTTTATTAGTATTTTTTTTAAAACAAATTTTCTTCTTTTACTTAC